CAGCCCCCTGCCTCCTCTCCTCTGCACCCCACTCCCCCCACTCCCACCCCCCCAAATCCTCTGTTACCGCCCTTATCCCTTATATGCCCAGTCTCTCAGGCGGCTCAGATGTGCCCACTTACACGCGTCTGCACCACACCCAGGTGTGGCCATCAGGCGCTGGTGTAAGCCCACAGGTGTGGATCATTGATGCTAATAGCGGGAGGGCGGAACAACCCGATCGCTTCCATTTACCTTACAGGCCACCAGGCACGTGGCAGGCAGGCTGGGTGGACGGGGGCCGGGGCCAGGAGGCTGGCAAGTCTTTGACCTTTCTCTGGGCTCACCTCTGGTGTTCTCTTATGGTTGCCTTTTCTATAATACTGCTCATCCCCCTGAGCCAGTGTCCTGCAGCCATCCTCCATCGCTGAGTGACGCCGCTCTCAGTCCCCAGCCTCAGGCCCAGGTGTGCCCACGTATGCATGCCCACGCCATACTCCAGGCGCCGCCATCAGACACGCGTCCCCCCCGTCCCCAAGCCTGCATCAGCACAGAGCAGGCGATGGCCACAGAGGCTAGAGACAGAAAGCCCAACTCACCTTCCCTACACTTCTGCTTCAACACTTGAGCATGTTGCATTTGAGGAGGCATGTTGAGCCATCTTAGCTGGCAGACCCCAAGGGCTCACATCACCCTGTCTACAAATCTCAGGGCCTTCCTCAGTTGTTGCTCACAGTCCTCACAACTCCAGACTCATGTTCAAATTCCCCCCTTGGGCAGGATCCATGGAACTTCTAGCGTGATTTTTCTGGGCCCTTTTCAGGATCCCTAGATTTGTAGGTCTTTGGCCAAGGTGAGAGGAGGTGTGCTCGATACAAATATACATTTCAAGGTTTGGGGCATTGATGCAAGAACCCTAGTCTTGGAGGGAGGCCCTTCTGGGTAGAAGTGGGTCTCACCTGGCATGCATTCTCTCACAGGAGCTCAAGAAATATATTGCCAAAAAACAGCTCTCCCCTGGGTTCTGTAGCATGCCATGAGCCAGCACAGCCATGGAACTGGAAAGCCACCTACAGCAGCCTTCTTTGGGACTCCCCACTGGCCCTCCAAGTCTCTCCTGCTGCCTGCCCTCCCAAGGTGGATGGGAGCCTGGTGGGCCTGGGGTGCTGCCTGTCACCTCGCATCACACAACAGTCTCAGCTGGGGTGGGGGTGGCTGACATGGACAGCCCTCCTGCTGTGCAGCCCAGGCGCTCTGCCAAACCATGGGGGTCCAGGGAGGGACACATGGGGGTCACCGGCAGCCAGAGCTGTCCTGGAACTGTGGGTGCCTCAAGGCCTCTCAGTGGGTACCTCCCACCACTCCGACTGGAGTGTTTCACACAGCCCTCAGGATGACTGGAGCCTTGACAACCTGCAGCAGCTCCAGGGTGCTGGCCTGTTCCTGGAGGTCTGGAACACTCCAGCAGCCTCCAGAGATGGGACCTGAGTCCATGTTAACTCCCATCTTCCCAGCAGCCCTCCTTTTTGCTCTGCCAGTCAGGTAACCGCCCGCCCCCCGCCCCCTTCACTGTCCCTCTGGACTTGCAAATGGGGGAGAGGCATCAATCCACTGGATTTCTCAAACTTCATGGTATGCGATGATGCTCTCTGGAGGCACTCTTCAAAGTCCCCTTCCTTCTGGCTTGAAGTGAAGGGAGGACATGCCTCCCCTCCCCTTGCTTGGGCTCATGCACCCCACGTGAGCACAGCCTCTCTAACTTCTAATGCTTGGGTCCCCTCCGTGTGTGGGCAGACACTTCAATTCTGCATCACTCGTGGGCAGAGATCAGGGGTCACCTTTCTGAGCACACACAGACTTCCTCCTCCCTGGAGCTAAAGCGCTCAGGGTCAGATGGAGGACGGCACACTGCCCCCAGGCGGCGCGTCCAGGAAGTGCAAGGAAGGCCGAGACCGCGGGGAAGTCACTTCGTTCCAGCAGCACACGGAATGCCGACCAAGCTGCCCAATCTCCAGCCTGTCCTGGCTCTCAGGCCTGGAAAGACAGGGCGCTAGGAGCTAAGGGTAGGGAGGCCCTGGGTGTGGGTGGGTGCATTAGCGGGGCACCATTCACAGCTACCGAGCAGGCTGCTCAGGACGACCCTGGAAGATCCAGGTGTCACCTGACATGTCACTATCAGTTGATCCCTTTGGGTAGGTGGTGCCCTTCTACTCAGGCCCCACCCAGTCTTGTAACTGACTGATAGTCTCCTCCACTATGAGTAGGTAAATAACAATGCCTGCCTTAATGAATTCATCTAGAGTGCTTAGCACAGGCCTCCCTGGTGGCACAGGAGTCATCTCAGCACTCTCCCAGCCCCTGCAGCACGAGTTCCACCCCGGCCAGGGAGCTGAGCCCATGGCACAGACCTCTCCTGACCCGCCCTCTGCTCCCCTCAGCAGTGTACTTCAGTCCATCTGCCTGTTCTGCCACCTGTCTCTAGTGAATCCTCTCACCCTCCACAGCTATGGCCTTACTCCAGTTCTTTTATGCATAAATAATAAATATATTTTTTAAAGTGCTTGGCACAGTTCCTGATTGATAGTAATAGCTCAGTATATGCTAGCTCTCCTTGTGCCTTCAGGACCCCTAGTATAGTGCACTTCCTTGCACACATGGAGCCACGTGGAGCCTGTCAACACTGGGACCTCAGATGCCCACGACGCCACTCATGGCTGAGGGCCTTTGCTCTGGGATGGCCTGGCTGGAGTACCTGGCAGAACTCCCGGGGCCTCCAATCTGTCATCCCTCCTGCCACAGGGACAGCAAGGACACTTGAATCAAATCTCCTTGGAGACAGGGCCGCTCTCCCACATGGTCACAGGCCTAGGATACTGGTGGGGCATGAGGGAGAGAGCCTCAGGGGCCAGCAGGACATGGGGCCTGAATCCAAAGCCTGGCTGGCCTCAACTTGAGACATTTACGTCATGTAGCTCCATTTACTCAACTGTGAGCTCCATTTACTCAACTGTGAAACAGAGTCGGCCCCCACCCTACAGGAAGTGCCATGAAGGGGCTAGCATTTGGGAATCCTAGCATTTTACAACCAGAAAATTTTGTAGTATATTTTTTCTGTGGCTGTTTCTCTCACCTGCCAAGTGCCACTGCCCTCCCCAGGTAATCAGAGCCCACAGCCATACTGTCCAAAACGAGCTTTGAAAAGCCAGTGTTCAGTTAGCCAGGTCAAGGTATGAAATTCAGAGTGGCACCTTTTCCCAGATATAGAGGGAAATAAAAATTAACTTTTTACTATTACTACTTCTGATCACAGTGGCACTAGCTTATTTGGATTAAATTCCCAACTGAGGTTAACTTAAAAGCTGCTCAAAATATGTGTATTTTAAAAGTCAGAAGGGGAGCATGGTGGGGGCAGACAAGCCAGTGAATTATCACAGGCCCAAGATCTAGGGGAAAAAAACAGACATGTGGGCCCTCCCTGGTGGCGCAGCAGGTTAAAGCACAGCACTAAGAGGCTAAAGGCACTTCAGCATGCGTTCCATCCCTGCCCTGGAGGTGACCACATGGTGCGGCAGACCTCTCCTGATCTGCCCGCTGCTCCCCTCTGCAGTGTACTCCGTCAGTCGGCCTGTTCTGCTCCCTACTCTGTCTCTGGTGAATCCTCTCACCACCCCTGCACCTCTGGCCTGTACCCCAGTTCTTTATGCACAAATAAATGAATCTTAAAAAAAAAACAAAACAGACATGTGCCTGTGTTGGGGGTTACTGTCTCTCAAGTGGGTGTCAGGCGGTATAGGCTCACTGGTCCCAGAAGACACTGCAAAGATGTCAAGCAGAGTCTTCTGGTGCTAAGGAGGTGAAAACTGAGCCCATGAAGAGGCAGAGGTAGCTGGAAAATATGTCATACTTTGGGGTGGGACCCCCAGAGGGCTTTACTCCTGGAATACAAAAGAACTGGAAGTAGATCAGTGCTCAAAGGATACAAGACATCTATAGATTAAAGTTATCCTGGTTTGCTAGAGCCCAAGGCACCTGCCATATGTGAACATCATAGAGGAAGAAAATGTCTTCCTACTTCCAGTTATTTCTACAGGTGACTAGATACAAGGTATGCTATTCAATCAAAAGTCATCAAGTAGTAAGGAGACAGACAAAACTAACAAAAACCAAGAGAAATGACAGACATCAGAAGCAGACTCCCAGGGGCTCCATGCTAGGGAGTTAATGAACTTTAAAATAACTCTGCTTGTTATGTTGAAATATATAAAGTATAGGCAAATTTAAGAGACAACTGAACATCTTTTTAAATCACTTCTGGTTGTCATTTTTTTTACCCCCATCAACTTCATTCTTAAAATGCAAGGTATAATAGATGAGAAACCAGCACAATAACCCTGGGGAAAGCCCAAAAGAGGTGATTTTGCTACTCTCACTCAAGAATGCTGCACTAGGAGAGTTTTTCCATAGTAGCAATACATTGTGAATGCATCACCCTAACTTAGAGGAGCAAATATGTTGTAAGATGCAGTGAAGACTGAAACTTAGCAGACGACAACCGAGAAGGCTTGTGTACCTGTAGCAAGGACGCATTTCCTTCCTCCTTCTACCTGCCCAGGCCCAGCTCTGCCCTAGACCCAGAGCAGCCGTGGTAAAAAACAGGCAGTGTTTGAGCATTAGTTGGGGCCAGGTCCCTGCCGGGGCTTTGCAAACATGAGTGTGTTGGCAGTAACCCTCCAAGAGAGCCCACGACTTCTCTCCATCTTACAAATGGAGGCGTGAGGCCCAGGGGCCCGTGCAGCGTGTGCCCCAGCTAACCAGCGGGGCAGCCAAGATGTGAACCCAGGTCTGCCTGCTCCCAGGGCCTGGCCCACACCCCATGTGCTGACTGCTGGGGGGACCCCTGCACACCCATGGTCAGAGGAGGCCTTGGATTCTCCTCGCCACAAACACAATTAAATACCAGGCAGGCTTCATTGCCTGGGAGAGGCGGTGTCAAGGATCCAAGACGAGGCTTAGGAGCACAGGGACACTTTAATGGATCTGAGTTCTGTCCATCTCCTCTTTCCTCTTCTTCTTCCCTGTTTTTGGAACTCAGGGTCCAGGACACAGAGGACACAGGGGTGAATGAGGGATGACCTTAGGCCACATGAATCAGGCAGAAGGGAAGGGGCCAGAGTGCAAAAACCTGCCGAGGTCGCCAGATCCCTCGTAAGAAAGCTGGGTGGGGTTGTCGATATTATCTTCTGGAGGGTGGTGAAGGGGCCCCAGCTTAGGCCCAGGGCCCTTCCCAGGGGCCCAGTGCTCAGGGATGAGCTGGGCACAGCAGCACTATTTTAACGCAGGTGCAGGCCAGGGCCTTGGCCTCAGACAGGTCATGGCCTGTGGTGGGTCCAAGTCCGAGGGGCCCCAGGGCCATAGGCAGAGTCTGAGGTCAGTTCAGATCTGGGCTGTAGAGTCTCCGGACTCTTGGTGACTTTACCTGACCAGTGCAGTCAGATAGGAGGTTCCTTAGAGGACCAGCAAGGTAGCAGGATAAGGTAAAAAGGAGATATGGGGGAAAGGGCTTCCCTGGAGGAGGAGCAATGATCTGGGGAGGTGGCAGAAGCGAAGCTGGGGCAAGTGGGTGCACCAGATGTGAGTAGGGGGCTTGGGGAGGAGGGGTGGAGCCAGGAGCAGGGAGGGCCCATGGCGGCAGAGTGGGGCTGGGCAGTCTCCTTCCCACCCAGGAGGCAGGGGACGGCTTCCAAAAGGTGGGGAACAGACCGACCCTGGGACTGCTGTATCACAGCGAGGATGAGGGATAGACACGGGGAGGAACCTGTGGGCTCTGGGGCTCAGCAGAAGTTGAATGTGCAAGGATGAATGGTGTTCTGAGCAGAAAGGGGGTAAAAAAATGGGGAAAATGGAGTCAGGTGGTGATTTGGGGGACAACTGAAGCCTGGATGCTGGCCTGGGCTCTGGCAGCAAGAGCAACAGAAGTCCTCTGGTCCAATCCAAGTCAGGGAAGGCAGCAGGCAGCCCTGCACAGCGCCTGGCTGCCAGCAAACACCCCTGCTGTGGATTAAGAATGGAGCTGGTGAGGCGAGGCAGGAGAGCAGGGCTCAGGCCCGTCAGGCCTGCTGCACGGAACCAACCCCCAGACACTGCCGTGCCCCCTCCGCCCTGCCCCAAGCACTTACCCACTGGGCTCTCAGAGCTTTAGGGAGGTGACCCGGGGGATGTGGAAGAGCTGAGTCTCTTCTGAGCTGGTGGAGCTGTGGCCTCGCAGAAAGAGAGCAAGTGAACACCCAGGCTCAGCCCCTGCCCAGCACAGACACAAGCCCAGAGTCCGGACTTTGCTGCCTTGGGAGCCCTCCAGGGATGGGAAGAGTCGCCAAATGCTATGCCTGGTGGGTGTGTGGCCATAAGGGTATGGGATGACACACAGGAGAACAGTCTGACCCTGGGGCTCCTCAGAACTTGTGGCTTTTCGGGTTAGGCATGCACCTCCCCTGCCAGGCGGGGTGTCTGGGACAGGGTGTGGCAGGGAATGGGGCCCAGAGACTCCTTGCTGGGCCCTTGCTGCTTCCCAAGGTCCTGGCAGCCCCCTCACCTGAGACGTTTCCGTATGGGACGGAAGTATTTGGAGGTCTTGACAGCAAAGATGATGCTGGGTATCAGGAAAAAGGTGCACCATGCCAGGCAGAACCAGAAAGCATTCTAGAACAGGCAGCGGCGTGGGTCATCTCTCTGTGGCTAGGCCTCGATGTCAGCATCCCTGCTCCCCACTCACTCAGTGAGGGGCCTGGGAAACACTCAAGAGCTGAGGGGGAGGGCTGGGGTGTGTGCCTGGGGGCTAGTTTCGCCTTACGACCTGCTCACACTGGCCTTCCCACGGAGGCCTCAATATCTGTGAGCCCTAAGGAGCTTAGGGGACACTCACCCAGGGATCAGCCATCATGTCACACAGGATCACACGGCCGTTGTCCAGAGCCCCAGAGAGGGGCTGGCAGGTGGCGATGCGCTGAGTCACCTGTGGAGTAACCACGAGGCAGATATACGTGGAGACCCCCAGGCCCCCATATTGAGATTGACGGGGCACAGAGTGAGACACACCGCAGTGCACGCAGGATAGCAGGACACACTCAGGGCCGGAGGTGGGGGTGGGGGGAGGGGGAGGACACGGGTTTGGGTTTATTCCTAAAGGCCTGGGGCAACCCCAGGGTCTTGGGGGTGGGGGGAGAAGAAAAGGGTGAACGAACGGCTGGTATCACCGCGGTTGGGTGACCAGTTGTTGCTCTGAGGCCAGGAGGGGTCTGAGGCCCCCACTCACCTGCTCTCTCACCCAGGCCACATACTGGGAGAAGTAGCCCATCTCCCGAGACAGGAAACACTCGCTTTGCTGCAGGAAAGAACAGCGCTGGGCTGGGAGAAGCCCCTGGAAGCAGCACCCCACCTCCCAATGCCTGGCACCATTAGGAACGGCCAAGCTGGCTTTCCTGGTGAGGTGACAGAGCTGGGGGAGAAGCCTGGGATGGGGCTCTGTGTGTCTAATTCCTCCACCCACCTCTGGATCTAAGGAAGCCCCACGTCCCCTGTCCCACCCCCCCCCCCACTCACATTCCTCAGGACACGGTTGGCCCAGGAAGGCAGCTCTCTTTTCAGGTAAGAAACCTTGTCCAGGATACCTGAGGTCTCCACCTGGGGGAGGGGAGCTGGTCAGTGCCCTACTCAGTCACGGAGCATGCACTCGGTCATCCATCCGCTCACGACTCAACATACAACACACAGCATGCTCACCTAGGATGTGGGGGTTAGACCTAAGGACACAAAGGCCACTCACGGTGGCCCTCCAGCAAGCACCCACTCACCTCCACTCTTCCCACTCTCACTCTCAGCTCTGATGGGACCTGGCAGTGCAGGCGTGATCCACACCTTTCCTGCCCTCTGCTGCCCACTTGTCCACCCCTCCCTCCCCATCCCCAGCAGCCACCTGGAGATTTGGGGCAGAGGATGCCAGGGTCCGTGCACTGAGGTTGAGCTTGGCCTGCCGAGAAGAGACCAAGGCTGGTTAGGTGAGGATTTGGGAGGGAGGGACAGTTCGAAATGCTTCCATTCTCGTCAGGCCCTCCCTGCCCCTAGTCCTCAGGGCTCCCTGGGTCTCCACACTTGCCACAAGGTTCTGCTGGGGGAGGACCTTCTCCTGATAGAGGTTTCTGAGCCTTTGCGCCTCGTCCTGCAGCTGCTGCTGTAGCACAGAGTTGTCCTGAGGGGAGACAGAGATGAGAACGGCACCCTGCCCAGAACAGGACAGCCTCTGCCAACACATCCCCCTCCGAGCTGTTCAGCCAGACATACTGAAGGGTGGTGAACATGGGGCTCACAGGCAGAAAGCCAGGGCGCCTAAGCTCTTGATTCTGATCTGCATTTGGGGAGGCTAAGCCCACCTTCCAGGCCCACCCCTAGTTTGCTTGGTGCTTCTAAGCCAGCCACAAAATCTCTCCAAGCTACCATGGCAACTACTGAAACTGAGGTGTGCTCTTTGCTTTACCATCATAAGGGGTTGATGTGAGGTCAATGCAAAGTCTCAAAGTGAGCTTTTTAAACTCTGAAGATTTATAAATACAAACACTACATTGTTTTTCCTGTAGTGTTTAGCTTCTGGAGGAAACTCATAGTCTCTGATCCATCACAATGTTTTCATAGGATCTGTCTGGCAGATTTTGCAAGCAGTGAGCATTTAGAGGCCCATGATATTGCAAATTACTTGCTCAAGGTCACACAACTAATTGGTGGCAAAGCTTGAGTCAAAACTGACACTGCAAGAGCCTTAAGCATCTGGAGGCCCAGCCCTCACTGAGGAGGGCCTTCAGTGCTCTGGCTTCACAGCCACTCCCTTGCAATTGAAGTGCTGCGCCACCCCCCCCCCCAACTCCCAGGCCTTTCTCTGAGTCCTGCTGCCCCACGGGGTCTCTGACCCCTTCTCACTTGGGCCTGGGCCAGTCTTTTTAGCTCCTGGGTCAGCTTCTTCATATCAGTATTCACCACAGGCTTCTGGATCTGCAGGCCAACAGGAGAGGTCAGAAGAGTGAACCCCAGCAACCCCTGAATCCCATCTTTTCAAAGCTACCCCACATCAGTTAGCGACAAAAACCTCCCGGAGCTGCAATGGCATCTACTGAAACTGAGGTGTGCGCTTTGCTTTACCATCATAAGGGGCTGACGTGAGGCCAATACAAAGTCTACTGTGACACATCAGTCACAGTGGGTTTGACCTGAAATTGTAAAACATATCAGACACTGTCCAGGCACCCTGTGGTGTAACTCAACAAAGAGGCACGTTCCCACCAGCCTTCTGCACAGCAGAGAGGTCAGGGCCACAAGCGGGACACAAGCTATAGGGTGGGGGCACATGGTTTGGGGACACCACGCACAGGAAGAGGCCCCAGGGACCTATAGACAAGTGGTGGGAAGGCAGAAGCTGGGGCAAGGCGCAACAAGCCCCAGCTTCTGTGTGGTGTGGGCCCATTCCTCTCTGAGCTGGCCTGAGGTGTCCGCTGCTGACCTGGGCAAAGAAGCCAGGGTAGTGGATGTTCTCAATGCCACTGCTTTTCAGGGCCTCCAGGTCCTGGCGGGCAGCTGGGCTCAGCAGGTCCAGACTCTGCACGTTCACTTTAAGGCTCTGCACTTCCTGCTGCAATTTGGCAGCGTACTGCAAGGAAGAGGAAAGTGGGGGCATGCCCAGAGCGACTCTCCCAGACAAGGGGTTGCCCAGGCCTCAGGATCCCAGTTCTGGAGTCACAGGGCCCCCACCCTGGACACTTGCAGCTCCAGACCGGCTCCTGGCTGGCCTCTGCTCCCACCCCGCCAAGACCCAGTTCTGCAGAACCTGCCTGGTGACTGGACAGGGGCACAGACCTTCTCTGACCATCTGATTAAAAATAACTTTTCCAGCCTGTCTGTATCACCTCAGCCATGTTGAGGCCTTCGGAGCACCTGTCCCTTAAAACTAGAGGGGTGGGAGCACACCTCATCTGCCCATCTGACCAAACATGTCTGGAGCAGAGGCTCACACGTGGTAGGCACAAGTGGTGACTGAGTGAAAATGCACACATGGAGGAATGGAGCTGTGCATTCCTCCACAGATGAGCAAACAGACACACTCACATTTCCAAACAGACCACGGTTTTAAAAAGAACTCTTGGCGTTTTCCTGACTTTACAAGCAGAGCTTTAAAGGACATGCAATTCAGCTCCAGTGTTTTAACAGATGTTTAAGAGAAACTCAGGCCAGAGAAGAGCATTCACTTCCCTGAAGTTCTGCAGCCCGCCCTGTCCTGTGACTCTGCTTTCTCCTGGAAGGGGCTGGGCCTCCTCTGAGAGGGATCTGGAAGCAGCATTTCGGGCATCAGTAACAGGCATGTTCCGGACAGGACTGAAAGCGGGCAGAGGCTGCCAGTGCCCTGGAGGGCACCTTACTTAGCTCAGTGTCAGCAGCCTGTCACCTCCCTGAGGACAAGCTCTCTGGAGGTCACTTTTGGGGGACTGTCCTGTCTCCCTGAACCTGGGTGCTATCTGTCCAGGCTTTTCTGCCTGCAGGGCCCCTTCCCTCCAGAAACCAGGACTGGGACGACCCCATCCCAACGCTCACTCCCCAGAGAATCCTGGCTTCCAGCCAGGAAGCACAGGCTCCATCTTGCCCAGGCCCCTTCTACAGCCCTCCCTGGCCAGCCTGCATCCTTGGGGCCGTCTGACCTAACTGGGCCTGTCCCAGGGCCCTCTCTTCAGGCTAGAGACAACACCAGAGGAAGAGCAAGCTAAGGCATTCCACAGACCTTCCAGGTTATGCAGGCTGGGAGCTAGGATTGAAACCTGGGCCATGTGGCTACACTACCCCATGGGCTTCCAACTTTCAAAGGATTTGGAAGATCCAGGAAGATGTAGATAGCACACTTGGGCGACATGGGGTGGAGAGGCAGATGGAGGAAATGTGTGTTTTCCCAGGAGGTGTGTGGAAAGGGCTCCCCGGGGTCAAGGCAGCTCTCTTCCCACGTCACTCAGAACAGCAAGGCAGGCAGGGATGCTTTCCAGCTTCCGTACCCCCGCAGAGCCACATTCTCGAGGCACATCACCCCCTGTGAAATAGCTCATCCTTTTCTTTGTGCCAGGATGATCTCCAGCCAGCAAGGATATATTTCTGCAGTTCTCACACCAAGTTCCAGAAAGTGCAGTGGCTAGGAGACAGGCACAGACGGAGTGGAGCGCTGCCGCCACCTACTAACCGGCAGTGTGAGCAAGGGGCCTTCGCCAGCCCTTAGCACCAGCCCATCACCATCGCCTTCACCGTCACGCCCTGCTCCCCAGCCACCCCGCTCCCAACTGCAGCACAAATGCCAGTCCTCGTCGGGACACACCCTGGCTCCCTCGCTCACTGTCACCATCCCTTCCTGTGACAACTGCAGCTGTCAGGTTTCCCCTGAGCACAGGCTCAGTGTGGGCCACATTCACCCCTACCCACCCACCTACCCTGGCATCGCCCCTGAGCTCCAGCCCTTGGCCAAGCCCTGAGCCTGCACCTGGGGCCTCTGCCCGGGGGCACTTGATCACTGTAGCAGACATCTAAGGCTCCAGGAGCCAGACTCTCCACAGAGGCAAGACCGGAGGAGGGGAGACCTGCAGACCTGCAGGAGGGGTCCCCACAGTCTTCTAGATGGTTCTCCTAACCTGGTTGATATCCAGGTGCTTCTCCAGGTCATAGGTGTCATTGAGCTGTAGGACCTTCCAGAGTGCGGCCCCTTGCCTGCACTGCCTGGGGAGAAAGGGCAAGCATCGAAGATGAGAAAAAGGGAAGGCCAGAAGGGCTGCCATCACCCTAAGGGGACATCCGCACGGCCCCTCCTCCTACCCAGCCCCTAGCCCAGGTTTCCCACTCACTGATAGGCCAGTAAGATGCTGACGTTCTTCAGACCAAAAAGTTGGGTCAAGTTCATGGATGGAGGCAAATTCCCCGGGGTGTCTGCAAACTGGAGATGGGCAGGGAGAAATGGGACCGGAGCAGGACGGACACAAAGGCTCCCACGCCCACCACTCTCAGCGCAAAGCACCCCCGAAACTCTGGCGCTAGCTCCTGCAGCAGCTCCCCCCACCCCTGTGAATCTCTAGGTGGGGCAGGGTCAGGTCTTTAGCAGAAAACCTGGGCCGGCACGTTGGTGTCCCTGCCAGAAGTGCTGGGGAGCCAGGGTTCCAGGTTACGGACTCGGGGTTAGAACAGCAGAGGGGCCCGGCTGGCTGAAACCCTTCAGGGTTAGGAGAGCAAGTTGGCCCATGGGCACCTTCCTCTCTCTATTCGCCAGCCGTTTTCTGCCTCTTCCTTGGCCATCTCTGTCACTCCTCCTGTCCCTCTCTCCCTTTTGCCTCTGGCCCCACTTCCTTCCAACCGTCCCGCCCTACCACATCTCCTCGACCGCCCTCCGGGCCGCCTGGGGTGGGCCAGGCACACCTTGTAGAGCTCCCCGCTCTCCCAGCTCCGGCACACCAGGGTCTGCACGTTGCCGCCCACCAGGAAGGTGGCGAAGACCAGGAGAATGAGGGGTACAGCAAAGAGGAAACTGATGGCCACACCCCTGAGGAAGCAGAGGGCGGGGCTGAGACCCGGCAGAGGCAGCTGCCTGCCCTGGACCAGACTGTGCCCAGCCACATCCCGGGACTGTCATTTTCAAAGACTCAGTCCCAGAGCACAGCCCTCTGGGAAGACGGGCTCAGGGGCTCAGCCTCCTGGGTACAGGGGAGAACTGAGGCCTGCTCAGGGTCCCACCTCCTCCCCACCCCACCCTATCACCAATGCCCTGATTGCCTGAAGCCTGGAGAGGGTAGCTGTTCTGCTCATAGAATCAGGAGGTGCCCAGCACCTCAGTCAACAGAGCCACCTGGCATGGGCATCGAGCAAGGGCAGTAACCTACAGGGTCTGAGCAAGACCAGCGTCTGGCCTAGGGCTTCTTTGCGAGAGAGGCATGGCTACATACTGGGCTTGAGACCAGGGCTGATTTCTGGTTGAGTCCACTCTTGCCAGGCGCCCTGCACAGTTGAATGTGGCAGTGCTGGCCTGGGAGACAACTAGCACAGGGTGGTAAAGTCCTGCTTCTGCTGCCCCCTCCCGCTGGTGGTGCTGCCTGGCTGCTGGGCTAAGAAGGATTCTGAGGCCTCAACGGGAGAGGGAACAGTGACCGCACAGTTGCCACTGATGGGGAACCACTTCTTTATCTGCCACTCTTGCTTGAGTCCAACCCTTTAAACAGATGAGGACACTGAGGCCTAGATGGATGGCCAAATTGCTCAGGCCATCTGGTAAACGGGTGCCAAGGACAGAACTAGAAATTAATCTCTTGATTCCTGGGACTCACTCCTACAGCCACATTAGGAACAAGAGGAACGAGGCCAGCCCAATGGGGAGAGACCCCCTCCCTTTGCCCCAGCCCTTCTTACACCATGAGGAAGCGGGCTCCAGCCTCTCCCTTGGCTTCTGAGTGGCTGGGGTCCTCTCTGGCAGACAGTCCCCAGATGCCGAGGTTGAGGCCCACCAAGTTACAGACCACCACAAGAAGGACCACGGAGCACAGCACGCAGCCCATAATCCACCTGCAACAGTGAAGGTGCAGTGTCACCGAGAAGGGAACAGATGGGCTTACACAGAACCCAGGGGCGGGGAGGGCCACGAGGCCAAAGCTGTGCAATTCCTAAGAACCCACTCTTCCTATGGGTTCCCCAGACTCAGATCCCAAAAGTACATGGCCGAGGGGGGACACAGAGGCCCAGGTGTCATGGCATAAACGGAGGCAGACTTAGTACAACTAGGGGGTACTGGGGACTGAACATCGGGCCGGGGCAGCTGAGAGGTTGCACTGCCCACCCCACCTGTGAGGTTCCCAGGCACCTGTATTTCTCATATCTCTGTAACTCCTTCAGGTAAGGGCGGCTGCTCTGTTCCAGCTCCTCCAGTGCGTGGCTCCAGCGAGAGGCCCCATCCCAGCCTGGAAACCCTTCAGCCAGTGTCCTCAGTCCCTCAGGCTGCTGGCTCACCACCTTCTTCAGCTCTGCCCCAAACAGCAGGGACTTAGATGGGAAGGGCACCAGGGAGGAGGCAGATGGGCAGGAGGGCACCTGGGCCGCTCAGAGAGGGCCGCTCGCCGTCAGGCCTGGCCAAGGTGCACAGCTTCCTGTCCCCTCCCAGCACGCCCTTCTCTCAGCAGGCCTCTCTGGTAGTGGGGTGGCAGCGCCTGGCCCCTGCAGGGCCTCACCTCTGACGGCGTCAGCTGTCTGCAAGGCGGCCAGGAGCGGAAGGGCATTGAAGGTGCTGTTCTCCTGTCAGAAACAGATGCAATTGTGCCTCCTGCTCTCCATGGGGGGCCCCAGCTTGGGGCCCCCTGAAGTCATCAGGCCCAGGAGGGCATCCCTCAGCGCTGCCAGCTCAGGAAACAGGAAATAGACTTCCTCTGTCCCCTCGGTCTGTGGCTGGTCTGTGGCTTTCACTCCCTTCCTCGGCCCAGGCTGACTCCACTCCCCAAATACTATCCCTCAAGGACACCTCCTTTCTCTCCCTACCCCACCTTGCCTAGCCTATTGCAGGGGACCACCACGGTCCTCTCATCTAGCTTACCTGTGCTGCACCTGGCTGCCAGGTCTATTTCCCTAAAGCCCTGCTCCGAGCGACTCTTCCAGGCTCAGCCTCCACTTTCTTCCTCCTGGAACCTTCCACTCCAGCTACCCAGCACAACTGAATCACCCTAACTGTGGCATTTTCCAGGCCCTGGGTCACAGGTGCTGACTCACACCGCACCCTCCCCCACAGCCTGTCTCCACCCACGACAGCCTGCCTGTCCTTGGAGACCAGTTTTTGTGCGTGCTCCCTTGCCAGCACCCCTGGCTCCACCTCCCGGGGGGTCCTAGATCTCTCTTCTTTGCCTCACGCCGGTCTGCTGCCCCCACCGGACCACGTGTACTCGGGACACAGCCCAGGGTGCTCTGTATAGGTGCAGCCCTGACTAGGCCCAAGCCCTAGGCTCAACTAGGTCCTACTCCAAAGGGGTGGAAACAGTTCCCAGGTGAGGGCAGGAGAAATCAGGTAGCCAGGGCAGGCACATACCTCCTCTACCATGTCGGAGAAATTGGCTTTCGGGACTCCCTGCAGACGACGCAGGACATTATCCACAGAAGGCACCTGGATGGGGGAGGCAAAGACAATGTCCACAGAGAGGCCTGAGAGGGCTCTCTGGGGAAATATGGGGACAGGCCTCTGGCCCCTCAGGGTCCTCGCGTGTAAAATGGGGACCAGTACAGCCCTGCGACCCTGGGTGGCAGTGAGAACTTGTGGGGCTAAGTGCTTGAAGCACCCAACACAGCGCATGCCCAGAACTCTTGCCCCAAAGCGAGGATGAGTCTCTTAACCTAGGACGTATGAAGAGAGGGGCAGAGCAGACCATGGACAGGGGTCAGGGCTGTGCCTCAGTAAACCAGAGAACACAGGCTGCCCGGGATCCCTGGGGCAGCAGGCAGAGGCCCTCTGCTCCAAGAAGCCTGTCCTTTGCCCGCACCTGGCTGAAGTCGGCTCCCAGCTCCAGGGTGTGGGCCTGGCGCAGAGCCTCTGCGCAGCCCTGGCAGACAGGCTCCTGCAGCAGGGTGAGGAGGTGCTCCCGGCGCTCCCGGACAGCTGGCTCCAAGCCCCGCTGTCTCTGCCCCAGCTCCACTGAGGTGGCGTTCAGGGCCTGGAGGTGGTCTGCAGAGATCTGCAGGGCTGAGAGACCCACATCCTGACTGAGCAGTTTCTACTGTTAATGGCATCCTCAGAGGCTTTGCAGGTGGCAGAACACCTTCCCTTCCCCCCACTCAAAGGGATCTCAGGTCATTAACCTTGGTAGTTATAATGGAAACTGCTCCAGGGCATGTTAAACTAGAACTTGGGCAGGGAGGCTGAGGAGGCTGGGGTTCTGGGATAAAGCCCTGGGAAAGTCGAAAGACATGGGTGGGGCTTGCTGAGGTGGCACAGAAATCATAACTGAATGAGGGCGGGGTGTGCCCCCAGGAGGACACCTGCCGCTCCCCACACCCACCTAGGGTACTAGTCTCACTCACCCTGGCCCAAGCTGAGCACGGCCGCCAGAGCCTGGTACACAGTGCTCCCAAGCTGGGCATGGATTGCACTTCCGATGCTCAGGCCGACACCTGGAGAGCACAGGGCAGTCTGCAGAGCTGCCCCCAGGAACCTGGGGCTCTCCCAGCCTTCCGGGACCCAGCACTTGGCTCTGCAGGGTGGACGTTGGTCTCTCGGTCTTGCTGTAGAGGGGCTGCTGTGCTGCCAGGTGGGCCTGTTTCCTCAGCTTCTGTGTAGGTGTTCCCAGGTGGGTCCCAGGGGAAGGGGATGAGCGAGACCCCCCAGGCAGGTCTGAGCAGGGGACCACGGGGACAGCTGGTAACCCTTACCATCCAGTTCCTCCAAGACTTGCCTCTGGGGAAGAGAGAACTGCTGTGCCACGGCCTGCAGCTCCTAGACAAACACAGAGCTGTGAAGCTGCCCTTCCTTGTTACTGACAGCTTGACCCCTACTCCTGATGGCCCCAGTTCCCACAGAGCTGGGTGTCCATCCTGAGGACACAGGGAGCATTTGTGTATTAAAGCAACTCTCCAGCAGGGGGCAGTCGGGAGCACGTCGGAAGGGGCACCCTTTCTGATCTGCAGACTATGGGCTAATTTGAGGCCCCACTCTGCTCCATCCTCCTTGGGCCTCAGGAGTTCACAGGGGGTGAGGGGTTCTGCTCACCTGGGGGACATCAGAGACCAGGCCGCGCAGGCTAAGTAGAGTCTCAGGCACAGCCTCGGCACTGGGACCCATCTGCTTGTGCACACGCTGGTTGGTGACAAAGGCACAGACCATGCCGATCCTGAGGCGGGGAGGGCAAAGGGCTTGCAGGATGTCCCTGAGCACCTGGCACCTCAGTCCACCCCCCACCTGACCTGGGCGCCCCTCACAGCAGCACGAGTGTGGTCAGCAGCAGGAACGTCATGAGGGTGCCGCGCTCACAGGCCATGGCCTTGTGTTCCGTCTTCAGTCGGCCCCCACAGCGCCGGCGCCGGCGGCAGCAACAGAAACAGAGGCCAGCAGTAGGCACCATCAGGAGGTAGAGGCCGGCGATCACCGCGCACACCACGTAGCCCGCCTGGTACCGCACCACCTGCTCAGGGCGGCAAGGGAGGAGGCTGTCGCGACCCCCACACCCAACCCACTGCCCCAGAGGGGGGTGGAGGGGGCGCAGTGGATATTTGGGAATGGGGAACCGCAAACAGACCAGAGCTTTCCAGCATCTCCCATAGCCATGCCGTGGGAGTCCTTTGGCTATTTACATCTTACAAAGGAGGGAACTGAAGTTCAGGGGCAGTCAGGCTCACAGCAAGGATCACCCCCACCCCCACCCCAGGGTCCATCGATGGCAAAGTCGCAGGTTTCAAAGCAGGTCTGCAAACTGCAGCCTTGTGGAGGAGGGAAAGGGAGACCTGATGAGATGCCACCCTGGAGGCCAGTGCAGATTACTTCAGCCCTTCATTCTCACCCCATCCCCTGCCCTGGACTCCCCGCAGGGCTCACCTCATCCACCTTCACAGAGGATGGCTCATTCAGCAGGGACTTCACCAGCTCTGTGGAAAAAGTGGGGGGTGTGGAGGCAGCGGCAGCCTGCCCGTGTCCACCCCACTGCAGGCAAAGGTGGGCTCTGGGGAGGGGCTCCTCCCACCACACGGCGCCCTTAGGGGAAACAGTATCTAGGTGCTGCCAGAGAAGAGAGGTCTGAGGGGAGGACTGGTCCACCTGGACCCACCAGGTAAGGCCTGCAAGTTGCGGTTTGGTTAAAAGCAGAGAAGGTCCTTGACCCCAAGTCCTTCCCTCCAGAGGCAGGGGCCTAGAAGGGAGAGGTCCTGCATCCCCTCCTGGCCCTTCCAAACCCAAGCAGCACTAAAGGGGAGAAGTCTTAGCTAGCTCTTTGGGAACATCTAATGTAATTTCCTCTGCATTAAGAAGAGACACTAAGTCCAGAAAGCAAAGTGTCCGTCCAAGGTCACACAGGAAGGTCCTGGAGCCTAGGCCAGGTGATGTCCCCTGGGCTTTGGAGAGGGAGAAGCGGATGGGGAACCCTGGGACCCTGCCTTTGCAGTGCCCGTTCACAGAGTAGGCAGCCCCATGGTGGAGAGGGGATAAGGGTGCAGGGTGGGGACCCAAAGCCTTGGATGCGAGTCCTAGGAGGGGCAACTCACCGGAGGGGAAGGGGTTGAGCTGCACCACGGAGAGAAAGCTGCGCACAGTGCTGTAGAGGGGGTCCAGGGGCCCTGGGGCCCGGACTCGAGGGGCCAGCCACCGGGCCTTAGCAGCGGGAGTGAATGCCAGGTGTTCGGCTGGGCCCAGGGACCCGCAATCCTCGGCCCCCGACCCGGACAGGCTCAGGGCCAGCACCAGGCCCAGGCCCAGCAGGGGCGCCAGGACGCCCGGCTTGTGCGTCATGGGGTCGCCGGTGGGCTCGGTGGGCTGCGGGGCAAGCAGGAGCCGGCTCAGGCGGCGGAGAGTGCAGGCAGAGCACGGGGCAGGCCGTGCATCCTTTAGCAGCCTCCTTCCCGCGGCTCTCAAAACCGGCCCGACTGGTTTGGGTTCCCGAGCCGACCTGGGCTCCCGCCGGGAGCGCTGGAAGGGCAGGGGCGGAGGCCAGGGCTAGGGGGCAGGGCTTGGATCGGCCCGCCCTCAGAGGCCTGGGGTAGAGAGCTGGGCACCCTTACCCCTCTCCAGACCCTCCTGAAAGGGCCGCCTTGGAGCTGGGGAGGGGAGGCACTTCAGCAGTTCTGGATTATTTAGAATGGCCCAGTTTCAAGACTGCATTCCATGCCCAGGCCCAGCAGCCTGATTTGAGGGCTGGGAAAACACAGATAGTAAGTGAAGCTCTGGCCCAAGGGGTGGCAAGACCAGCCACACAGGCCCAGGAACCAGGCCCGCTCCCAGCTGCCTCTGGGCCTGTTGTCTCTTCTCAGGCCTGTGCCCACTGCCAGGCCAGTCTGAGCAGAGCAGCGGCCAGGCCCTGCCAGAGTGGCTCCCAGAGCAAGCCTTTGGGATGCAGGGCACCCTGCGTTCGGAGTCCTCTAGGAAGGCGAGTCCCAGCAAAGGTGTGCCCCTTGGCCCATCAGTGCCCTAGCCAGTCATCAGCTGAAAGAACTAATCAAGGATGTGCCCAGAGATGTGTCTACACATGTCTTTGTTTTGCAAATGGCTGTGTGTCCAATCCCCAGATGGTGCCTGTAGCTGAGCCAGCCGGGGGAAACTTGACTAAATGCACGGAGGATATTTCAGCCCTGCCTACAATACCAGAAACAGTCTTGAAGGCCACCACAAAGGAGTTGGTAAAACGAGTGTCTCGCAGGACACACAGTAGTCAATAAAAAAATTATGTGGAAAGACTCCTTGGACCTGAGAGGGACTCATGGTGCATTAACAGGCACAGATGGTTGATTACCAAGCAATACCTGGAGCAAGGGCCCAGAACAGTGATCCTCTCTCGATGGAGTCATGGGCAATTTTTAATTCTCTTTTGCTCATTTGTGTAGTTCAGTGTCTGCTCAACAAACACGTGTCACTTGTTTTCAAAGAACAGAAGTTTATGAGTTTCTATGGCAGCCCTCCCCCCCAATATTGAGGGCCCCAGAGAGAGGAGCTGGTCTCTTATCCTGACCCACAAGTTCTGGTTTGCCAGGTGAGAGAGGGGCACAGGGGTTGAAGGCTGCTCATGAGGATTCGACAGTAAACAAGGGACTTAAGTTTGAGTCGAGGCTGGGCCTGCACTTGAGTCATTCTTCCCATGGCTGCCCCCAGTTTTCACACAGCCAGGGGACAAGCATACAGTCATAGAAGGAATGGTCCCGGTAATAACGGGGTGCAGACAGGAAACGGACCTCATTAAAGGGTGACTCAGCGATGAGGATCAGGGTTGCAGCAAGGAATGGACTAGGGGTGCCTGGCACCTTGGGTCCAGAGGCAGCACTGTCCTCGGTGACCCTGCTCCGGTATGTGGAGAGAGGCCTTGGACCCCCTGTGACCATGATTGTGCCGGAAAGCCAAAAGCAGACTGTGCCCACCTTGCCCCCATCCCTCACTTCCTGTCTGACTCAGCTGAGCCTGGCACCTGTACTGGGGTATCTTGGCCCCCTGACGGCCTTTCCCAGGAAGGGCTGATCTCCCCAGGGTCTGCCTGTTCCTCCTCTTTTTCTCCTCCCCCACTGTGAGCTGCTGGAAAGAATTGCTGCCCTGGTGACCACTTGCTGTTTTCCTCCCACCCCACCCTCAAGCAAGGTAGCAAGGTGGAAATAGCCCTTTCCCTGCCTGACATAATCCACCCGCGGAGGGAGTGATGTCTCTTGTTTCTTTTCTTTCTTCTTCTTCTTTATTTTTTCTGTATTTCTGATTTGGATGCACTGAGGACAGAGAGTTAAAGTCTTTGCTGACTGGGAACAACCAGAAACTCTTGGGGCGCTGGGAAATGAGCAACTCAGGGCCCCAGTGTCTTTTCTCCTCCACCCCATTTTTCTTTTCTCAACTATCTTCACTAAGGCAATCAGTTGCTACTGTCAGTGTTTTGTTTTAAAGATTTATTTTACCTATTTATGTATACAAGAGCTGGGTTGTAGGCCAGAGGTGAGGGTGGGGGGAGCGGATTCACTAGAGACAGAGTGGGGAAAAGAACAGGTGGATCTATGGAAACACACGGCTGAGGGGGGGCAGCAGCTGAGACAGGAGAGATCTGCTGTGCCATGTGGGTCAGCTCCCTGTTTGGGGATGGAGCTCATGCTGCAGTGGCTGCCATAGTAGCTTCCTAGTGCTGAGACTTAACCCCTTGTGCCACCAGGGTTAACACTAACACTGTTAAGTGTTTTTATAAGTGTCTATAATAAAACCACTGTACTTTGAAGGTGAGATTTTCCCCCAAGAAAAGACAATACATATCAAACCTCTTCCTTAGCCTGGGGTGGGAAGGTTGACAAAGATACTTAATCTGCCTATTTGACAATGTTGAGGCACAAAAGGGACTTTCCAGACCAGTGGCCTCAGCAGGACCTTGATGGAGCAATCTTATTAGGCCAGCCCATCAGCCCAGCCTTTGGGAATGCAGATGGGGCCTGTGGCCAAAGCTGGGCTCTGGTGGAAGATGAAACTGCTGCTATAATTGAAGTCCTTGGAGGCACAGGCCAAGTGGGCTATGGGCATTGGGCGGGCTGGGCCAGAGGGTGGGCTGGCTGGGCCAGAAGGGTACTCTGGCAGTTGCCTCTGAGGGCATGGGGCCAGCAAGTAGCAGGGCCATAGGCTTCTAGAGTGGGGAAGCTGATTCAAGACTGGTCCTATCCTGCCTCCCCGGATTTTATTAACACCTTTCTGCACATCCTATCTCCTGGGACTGGGACTGCTCTCTCTCTTATGGAAATTGTTTGGTTGACCTGGGATCTGCTGCTCCCATTACCTTGAGAACACGTCCTGGGGCCATTTTCCTACCCCTGACCCCCCCCCCACACACAGAATTTTGATGGTCCCCCAAATCTGCAGCCCTATGGAGGGGGGATGCTGCCCTTCACAGAACAGCTGGGCCCCAGGATGCCAGGTTCCTGGCTGCCTGTGTGCTACCCTGCGGGAACAGAAAGAAGCCCAGTAGTTCTCAAGAAAACAGCATGAGAAGGCTGGTTCTTCTGGCCTCAGGTGTCTCTGCTGTGGCCTGGAAATGGGCCATAAACCAACCTGAGGGGAAAAGCTCCACTTATCAGATCATGGAGACTAGAGCGAGGCAAGCATCCTTCTCAAGTCTTTTGATGGTAAAAGTCAAAAGCTCACTCAGGCACAGAAACTCACTCATCCATTTGAACATTTTTGTAGAATTCTGGGGTATTTGAGGAGTCCAAGCCTGGGAAATGGAGTGCTCAGAGCCCAGAACAGGAAGATCAAGTGCCCAGAGCTCAGTGTCCAGTGTCCAGTGCCTCTGGGCCTCTGCCCACTACACATTAGCCAGGATTCTCAGTACCCAGGGGGTAGAAGGCCATCTGGCTGCCCTGGGTCTACCCACCAGTCATGCCACATTCTGAGCCCAGCAGGAAGAAGCTGACGGTGCCAGCCTGGGGCAGCATCCCAGGCCAGCCAGCCCACAGCCACAGCCTTCTGTGGCGCAGTTATAGCTGCTGCTGCCGAGCTTACTGTGGAGGGCAGGGGTCCGTGGGCCCTCTGAGCAGGAAGTGACATTTGAAAGAAGTTGGTCACAGATGTGGGAGCAGATAGCTTGTTCAAAATGCCATCAAATGTCCAGAGCACCCAATGGGTATCATTCTGAACAGTTTTTAGGTGAGAATTCCATGAAAGGGGAAGGGGTGTCTGGGTGGAGATGTTTTGGACAATTTCCTCTAGCAGACATGAGCACCGTTGACTTCTCAGCCCTCATTTCTGCATCCAGCACTGCATCCAGCACCCGCCTTAGGAGAAAGCTGCTTTCTTAATTTGCTTCCCCAAGCCCTTCCCCAGGGGAATGCACTGGGCTCCCCTGAGAATTTCCTGCCTTGCGTCAAAGATTCACTGTCCTCTCTGTCCTGTCTGCACTCACGATACTCCTCCTACTCCTGTCCTCCTCTTCCTTTAACGCTTGGCTCCCGTGGTCGTCTTCTCTAGGAGGTCTCCTGACTCCTCTCTTTGGATGAATTGGGGGTCCCTCCAGGTTGCTTCCATATAACCTGCCATTAGTCTTCCTCCCCGCCACCAGGTTGGACAGTGGCCCTCCGACAATATGGTTTGAACTACCCGTCCACTTCATGTGTGGTTTTTCCTACCTTCAAGTTCTATGCATCAGTTGGTTGAATCCATGGATGTGAACTTGCAGGTACTGAGCACTGACTATAAGGGACTTGAGCAGTGGAGGATTTGGGGGTTTGCAGAGATCCTGAAACCAACCCCCCACCCATAGCAAGGGATGACTATGTTTAAGGTCAAGGTTATCCACAGGATTTTCAAATGTGCAGGGGTATGGATATGGGTAGGTGCCTCTGACCCCCAAGTTGTTCAAAGGTCAACTGTATTTACTCACTGACCCATCATCCTCAGCCCTGAGCACAGAACCTGGCACACCCAATATGTTCCATAAACGTTTGCCTTGACTTGGGGCAGGGGATTTCAAAATGTTTAAAAATCAACAATATTCGCTCAGCCGGAGATTCCTGAAAATGAATGCAGTATATTGCATTGAAAATTATTCCAGAATAGATGGGAGAGCTCCCAAACTAAAATTCTACGTGTGCGTCTGGCATGAACCAGGTGAGGAAGGAATGAGGTGAGGGTGGGCTGGAGCAGGGGAGGGAGCAGCAGTCTCTGGGAGCATCCTCATGGCCTCGAAGCAGTAAGGCCAGGCATAGCCCAGAGAATGGCCAGGGGAACCGTTCGCTTGTGGGTTCAGCGGCGAACACACACGCCTTGTGAGAGCCACTGTGCATGTCTGGTGATAGCTACTGCGGGCACAGCATGGCAGGCCCCCGGGCACAGCCTGGAAGGCAGCCTGTGTGTCGGGACCTTGGGCAGGCGGCTGTCAGGGGTGGTCAGGGCCGGGAGGGCAGACAGAAATGGCTGTGTCTGGCTTGCTGTGGCAGGGTGAGCTACTAAAAGCAGCAGTCCATCACTGAGCCAATTTTCCAAAAAGACTTGCTGAAAGCAAGCTTTTGGCTGCCTAAGACTTCAGTCTTTGCCACCAAGGCTTCTATGCAGTTGTGCCTCCTCTGCATGGTCAGATGAGTCCCCCGGAAACCAGAGGGTCCGCATCCTCAGACTGGCTGGTGTCCAGATCAGTTGGCCTGAGGCAGAACTTCCCCAGAAACCTGGCGACCTCCTCCTCATTACTGATAGCCCCGTCATTGGCCTTCTCTCCAAGGCCAGGGCCTGGGCCACCTCTGCCTCTGACATCAGCTTCTTCCTCACCTGGTGGCACTTGTAGCCATGGTCCCTTGGGAAGAAAACAGAAGCCTGTCTGGTTTGCTGAACCTCAGGCAGTTAGGTGTCGTCCTGCCAGGAGCATCATGGGAACAGGCTCTATTGTAACATCTCCAGTCCAGCTCTTCTGGCCACAGGATAAGTTGAGACGGAAGGCTGCTGGTGTGCTGTCTTTAGCGGTGCCATACCTTTTTTCCTCTTGGGAGCTCATGAGAGCACCATGGATCTGACCCTCAAGCATTCTGCCCGATGCCCGAGTCTCCAGGTGCCCTGGAGCTTAGACAAACAAGTCTTAAATAGATGGGCTTTTGGTTGTAGTCCAAGTGGCTCTGCCCTTAGTCCCCTTGAGTTAGCTCTGAGAGGTCACTGTATTGGTGGAGGCTGCTCATCAGCCTGACAAATAGACCCCCTCCCCTTCCCATTTATACTCAAGAACCTGACTGGGGAAAGCACAGAGGGGGAATAATGACACCCGACAGCCAGGGAGGTGGCCCACATGGCCCAGCAGACCTCTCCTGTCTCGCCCACTGCTCCCCTTGGGAGTGTATTTCAGTCAATCTGCCTGCTCTGCTCCCCACTCTGTCTCTGGTGAATCCTCTCATACCCTGCACCTCTGGCCTGCACCCCAGTTCTTTATATATATATATATAAGTTTATTTTTACATAT